TACTAGAACTGATAAATGAATTCAGTAAATTTGCAGGATACAAAATCAATGTACAGAACTCCCTTGCATTTCTATACACTAATAACGAAGTAGCAGAAGGAGAAATTAAGAAAACAGTCCCATTTACAATTGCACCAAAAATAATAAAATACCTAGGAATAAACTTAACCAAGGAGGTGAAAGACCTGTACTCTGAAAACTATAAAGCACTGATGAAAGATATTGAAGAGGACACAAACAAATAGAAAGACATTCCATGCTCATGAATTGGAAGAAAAAATATTGTTAAAATGCCCATACTTCCCAAAACAATTTACAGATTGAATGTAATCCCTATCAAAACATCAAGAGCATTTTTCATAGAACTAGAACAAATAATCCTAAAATTTGTATGGAATCTCAAAAGACCCAGAATAGCCCAAGAAATCTTAAAAAAGAAAAACAAAGCTGGAGGTAACACAATTCCCGATTTTAAGTTATATTACAAAGCTGTAGGAATCAAAACAGTAATGGTACTGGCACAAAAATAGACACATAGGTCAATGGAACAGAATAGAGAGTCCAGAAATAAACCCATGGTGTTATGGTCAATTAATCTTTGACAAAGGAATCAAGAATATGCAATGGGAAAAAGGCAGTCTCTTCAATGAATGATGTTGGGAAAACCAGACAGCTACAAGCAAAAGAATGAAACTGGACCACCTTCTTACATCATACACAGAAATAAACTCAAAATGGATTAAGAACCTAAATTGAGACTTCAAACCATAAAAGTTCTAGAAGAGAGCACAGACAGTAATTTCTGTGACATCAGCCATAACATCTTTCTACATATGTCTCCCAAGGCAAGGGAAACAAAAACAAAAATAAAGTAGTGGGACTACATCAAAATAAAAAGTTTCTGCACAGCAAAGGAAACAACCAACAAAACTAAAAGCCTACTGAATTGGAGAAGATATTTGCAAATGACAAATCTGATAAAGAGTTAGTATCCAAATATATAAAGAAGTTATACAACTCAACACCAAAAAACCAAATAATCCAATTTGAAAATAGGCAGAAGACATGAGCAGATATTTTTCCAAAGAAGACATCCAGATGGCCAACAGACACATGAAAAGATGCTCAACATCATTCATCCTCAGGGAAATGCAAATGAAAACCACAATGAGATATCATCTCACTCCTGTCAGAATGGCTAAAATCAAAACCACAAGAAACAACAAATACTGGTGAGGATGTGGAGAAAAAGGAACCCTCGTGCACAGTTGGTGGGAATGCAAATTGGTGCAGCCACTGTGGAAGACAGTATGGAGGTTCCTCAAGAAATTAGAAGGACCCTATGATCCAGTAATTGCACTATAGTGTATTTGCCCTAAGAATACGAAAACACTAATTTGAAGGGATACATGCACCTCTATGTTTATTGCAGCATTATTTCCAATAGCCAAGATATGCAAGCAGCCCAAGTGTCCATCAACAGATGAATGGATAAAGAAGATATCTATCTGTCTGTTCATCTATCTACACACACACACACACAGGAATATTATTCAGCCATAAAAAATGAAATCTTGCCATTTGCAACAACATGGATGGATCTAGAGAGTATAACGTTAAGCGAAATAAGGCAGTCAGAGAAAGACAAGTACAATATGATTTCACTCATATGTGGAATTAAAGAAACAAAACAAAGGGGGCAAAAAGAGATAAAGCAAGAAACAGACTCTTAACTATAGAGAACAAACTGATGGTTACCAGAGGGGAGGTGGGTGTGGGGGGATGAGGTGGTAAATGTGCATCAGAGAGATGAAGAAAGCAAAAAATGTAAATATCATGTGAAGACAACATTAATCTAGGAAAGAAGGTGAATGTTAGCAAATCAAAGCTTTGCTGTGTGGTGGGTAGCCTAGAGATAATGTATTCATTCTTTAAATGCTATTTGTTGGAAGTTAGAACATGGTCATGAACCCGAGGTTGGGAGCAGTTCCCAAGAGAGCCCCAGGGCCTCTCCTTGCATTCCATCAGCTCTCCTAGGAGTTCCAGGTGAACCAGAGGCCGGGCACCATTGGCCAGGGTAGGACTGGTCAGAGGTCATTCACCACCAGGGTCATCCTGGAACCCAGACTCCATATTCAGGTGGCACCTGAAGGAGGTGGAAATCCTCCCAGTGAAATTTTTAGGGGAACTAAGACCTGTACTATTCCCAAACATCTTTCTGTTCTCTGTTACCACCAATCTTAAAGATGCTTTCAAAATCAACAAGCTGTCTTACCATCATTTAGACTTTCTCCTTTATTTTTTAAATTTTTAATTGATTTTTTAATTTAAATTTTAGGTAGTTAACATATAGTGCAATATTGGTTTCTGGAGTAGAATTCAGTGATTCATCATTACATACAACACCAAGTGCTCATCATAACAAGTGCCCTCCTTAATACCCATCACCCAGCTAGTCCATCCCCCACCCCACCTCCCTCCATCAACCCTGTTTGTTCTCTACTGCTAAGAGTCTCTTCGGGTGCCGGGGTGGTTCAGTTGGTTAAGTGTCTGCCTTCAGCTCAGGTCATGATCCTAGGGTCCTGTGATCGAGTCCCGCATCAGGCTCCCTGATCAGCGTGGAGCCTGCTTCTCCCTTTCCCTCTGCCCCTCCTCTCCACTTGTGCTCTTTTTCAAATAAATAAATAAAATCTTTTAAAAAAGAGCATCTTATGGCTTGTTTCCCTCTCTCCTTTTTCTCTTTTTCCCCTTCCCATATGTTCATCAGTTTTCTTTCTTGAATTCCAGATATGAGTGAGATCAGGATGGTATTTGTCTTTCTCTGACTTATTTCACTTAGCAAAATACACTCTAGCTCCATCCATGTTGTTGCATATGGCAAGACTTCGTTTTTTTGATGGCTGAGTAATATTCCATTACACACACACACACACACACACACACCCCACATCTTCTTTATCCATTCATCAGCCGATGGACATTTGAGCTCTCTCCACAGTTTGGCTATTGTTGATAATGCTGCTATCACCATCGGGATGCATGTGTCCCTTTGAATCTGTATTTTTGTATCCTTTGGGTAAATCCTAGTAGTGCATAAGAAAATGCTCAACACCACTCATCATCAGGGAAATACAAATCAAAACCATGGTGGAGATAACACCTCACACCTGTCAGAATGGCTAAAATTAACAACACAGGAAACAGATGTTGGCAAGGATGCGAAGAAAGGGGAACCCTCCTCCAGTGTTGGTGGGAATGCAAGCTGGTGCAGCCACTCTGGAGAACAGTATGGAGGTTCCTCAAAAAATTAAAAATAGAGCTACCCTACCACCCAGCAATTAGACTCCCTTCTTTGGCTTAAGGAACCATTTCTCCAGAGAGCTGTTAATAAAATGAGTTTTTAGTTTAAGCGAGGAGAAGTAAACATATTAGTATCTGTTCATAGAAGCAAAATTTCTGGTTGAGAGAGCAGACCAAGAGAGACAGAGGATGAGCTCTGAGTGGAAAGAAGGTAGCAGGTCACATTGAGGAGGAAAGGGCGCTGGGAAGGCTGAGCGTACGGGGTGCTTACTATCTGGGGGGCAGATGTGTGTGGCACTGTGAGGCGGCCCCTAGGAAACTGAAAGTCAGGAAAGATTTATAGGGGTGGCTGAGAAAGGGTGACTTCAAGAGAAAGAGGAAAAATGGTCATCAGTGCAATCAGGGGGTGAGGCCACAGGGAAAACCAGCACTCCTACTCCAGTGTGGCCCACGGCTGCCGAGGAGACCCACGTAAGACTGGGATGGCCAGTTCATAGATGCCTGACCTCCTATCAGCCTAGGCCCCAGCGAAAGGAGCACAGTCACACTGGCTGGCTGGAAGAAAGTGTGGTGATGTATAAAACTGTGCCATTACAAGAGCAATGTTGGACTGGGAGTTGGCAGCAGCAGCGCTCTGACACAGAGCAAACTGAAGAAGGGTCTGGGTGGATCTGGAGGTGCAAACCCAAGACACCGCTCACCGATGCCCCCAGTGGGCAAAGCGAACAAACCTGGATACCTCAGGCGGGCGGCTGATCTCACTACCAAATTTGTGCAATAAAAGCTGGAAATGGCACATCCCGCTTTTTGGAAAAGAATAAGGCTCCCTTGAAAACATTTTTATTCCTAAAATCAAAGTATTTCTGTTGTCTCTCTCTCATTTGAGGTCTTCCTGATCCCCAGAGATGCATCATCCTGCTGAGTACAGACAAATCACTGATTCTCTCTGCAGGGGGAGGGCTCCCCAAAGGATGCCTGCCAGTGGGCAGGAGTATTTATTTTTAGACCCCTCACTTGCCAGTGCGTGTACTGATGTTTGCAACGATAGTGAAAGGTAAGAGGCTGGGTGGTGGCTTCCATTCTCAGTTCTCGTATCCTTATAGAAAAACCCAACTTACACATTCATGGCAGTCCTCTTCTGCTCTGAATTATCTCCACTTTCCATGGAAGCAGTTGGTTTGAATTCTCTGACTAAAAACACTTTCCTTCTTGGAATTTGCTAATTGTAATTCCCAGTGAAGTGCCTCTTTCCTTATTGTGGCTGCCTTCCGTTTTATGCATGTAATGGTTTCCCTAATATGTTTTTAATTTTTTTAAATGTTTATTTGAGAAAGGAGACAGCGTGCATGTGTGTACAAGTGTGTGTGAGTGGAGGGGGAGAGGCAGAGGGAAAGAATCCCGAGCAGACTCCCCACTGAGCACAGAGTCTAACTCGGGGGTCGATCTCACACAGTGAAATCACGACCTAAGCAGAAATCAAGAGTTGGACCCTTAACCAACTGAGCCACCCAGGCACCCCTTCAGCCCCCCAAAAGTTTTTACATTCACCAGGGTACCTTGGACTTTTTAAAAGGATAAAGCAGGCATACAGAAAGAGTAGATAAGCACTGTACAGGGAAATGTATTCAGGAGCTGTTCTCATGCCGGCAGGGGAAATGGCGTGCCCTTGGCATGCATATACCGAAAGAATCCATCCGTACACTGTCCCTGCAGTCCACATCCACCCGACCGCTGTTCAACAACAGCCTGAGCAGAGCCAGGTTGCCTCTTCTTGCTGCCCAGAATGCGGCGTTGGCAAGTGGAGTTTCCTTCTGCAGAAGCAAAATGAGACAGGATCTTAAACTTGACATCAGTTAATGTGACCGCCTCTACGCAAATATATGCCACTCAAAAAGCAGAATTTCCAGATGTGTCGGAGCATGGACAGATGCTCCTCCAGCAACAGATGATTGTGATATACTTGGTCATGGAACACATTCTGTTTTATACCAGATACCGGAGTGCCGTTATGAAAAGCAGTGCTGTTGATAATATAGCACTATTAATACCTTATTTTCCACCAATGTTCTCCCTTTCCTGCCTCTGTGTCTTTGTTCACAGTTTCCTTTTTGCTTGAAAGGAGTGCTCCCCCATCCTTCAAGGCCAAGGCTCTGCTTAAATGCTATTTCCTCCCTGAAACGTTCCCAAATCCCTCTTCACCTCTAAGCAGAGAGAAATCTCTCCCGATTCTGACCTCCCCAACACACATTTTTTCTATGCCCTCAACTTTCTACCTGATTCCAGCTTTCGGTCAAGGCCTCCCCTCCCCTCCACCTAATTTCCTTTGCTGGAAACTTGCCAGAGGATTCAGTTAAAAATGAGGAACTCTGGGCAGAAAACACTGTTAACGTGTCCTCATATGGATCCTTCTTTCCACGGCTGCGTCATTTTAAAGTTGCAAAGTTAATGTGGAAACCATCCTATGGAAGGAATAGAGCTGGCAAACAGTTCTTCAAGAATCAGAGTGGCAGAATTGACTGCAGTACAGCTGCCTTTCCTAAAACACATCAATTTGGATCTATAGACAACAGTCCGTGACAGGGGAGGGTGAGGGTGACGGGGAGGCTCTGGAACCAGACAGCTCTGGGTTTCAACCCCAGCCCTGGGCAAATGACTTGGCTTTGGTGAGTCTTATACTACCTGCCTTGAAGTTTTTGGTAAGGATTAAATGATGTAAGTTAATTGGCAAATACGGTACCCAACACATCATAAATGCTTACAGATGCTAGCTTCTCACCCTCTGTCCACTTTTCTTTACAAAGTTAGAATCAGTAGGCAAAATTAAATCGAGTATTGGTACTATAAAGAATTTTGCTGGTCTCAGGAAATTTCTAGCATTCAAATTGTTTAACAAAAGCATGTTTTGGGTGGGCTTAAAACACCTATCTGACCCCAAGGCCCTTTTAAACGATATGTCTTTTAAGTATACTGATAAGGCATTAAATTCAATGTCTTACCTACCTATGCAAAGTTAAAAAGAAAACAAAACAATGTCACCCACAACAAGGAGCCATCTAAAGATTAACATTTTTTTTTTTTTAATTTTTAAGTAATGTCCACACCCAGTGCAGGGCTCAAACTCACAACCCCGAGATCAAGAGTCTCATGCTCTACTCCCTGAGCCAGCCAGGCGCCTGTCCACAGAGCCATCTAAAGTGAAAGCTCAGTGAGAGTGAAGGGGGCATCTGTTGGTACGAGGATTTCTTTTCTGCTGCCCTTCAGCTCACCCACGGCTTAGTGCTCTCGTGTGTTCTCGGAGGAGAGCATGGCCAAGTGGGGAGTGCTAAGCAGGTTGCAAACATACTTTGAATAGTTTCCTGGCTCCAGTAGGAGGAAAACAAAAATCCCCTCAAATTCCAGATGAACAATTTGCTTTCCCCAAAGGCGTAAATATTATGGTCCCAGGAGTTTTCAGGCCAAAAGGCAATGGTGATGTTCACACCCAGGGTTGGCGGGTTTGTACCGGGCTGGGTCCCCTATTACAGCTGTCGGGTGACTGGCTGAAGCAACGGCCAGGCAGGTCTGACTTGTATCAGAAATCACGAAACAATACCCTTTCAGTAGGGAGATTGCACAAGGCCAAAATGAAGTCTGAAGGGTGAATTAGGAAGAGAATTTAGTTATCACCACGGAACAGCTCTGTTGGCTTTTCCTGAAACATGAAGACTTGAGAGTAATAAATTGTAAATCATTTTTAGTGATTTTGTTGTTTCTCTTTAACCCCAAATTATTTTCAAAAAACCATCTGGAAACCACAAACTTGTATTGTCATAATAAGCTCTCCTGCCTTGAGGATGGCTTCGGGGCTTTCTCTCCTGTCAGGGCTAGATTTCCTGGTTTCCCACAAGGTTTTAGAAACTGAACTTTGTGAAAAGACGTACAGATTTCATTCTCCCTCAAGTGCCTGATTTACTGGGAGGTGGAGGCAAGAGAGTTGATTTGGGGTAAGAAAGAGCTGAGTTCCAGTCCTAAGCCTGCTACTTCTCAGCTCTTTACTCTGGCAGGTTAACTGCTCTCTGTCCCAGTAAAATGGGCATAATAATGCCAGGGGTAGGGGCGCCTGGGTGGCTCAGTTGTTAAGTGTCTGCCTTCGGCTCGGGTCATGATCTCAGGGTCCTGGGATCGAGCCCCGCATCGGGCTTCCTGCTCAGTGGGGAGCCTGCTTCTCCCTCTCCGACTCCCTCTGCTTGTGTTCCCTCTCTCACTGTGTTGTGTTTCTCTGTCAAATAAATAAAATCTTTAAAAAATAAATAAATAAATAAATAATGCCAGGAGTAGTACCTCTGCCATGTGTTGTTAGAGAATTAAAGGATACATGTCAACTCAGTTTGATGGTGAACACTCAAGAAATGCTAGCTATAGGGGCGCCTGGGTGGCTCAGTCGTTAAGTGTCTGCCTTCGGCTCAGGTCATGATCCCAGGGTCCTGGGATCGAGCCCCGCATCGGGCTCCCTGCTCAGCGGGAAGCCTGCTTCTCTCCCACTTATCCTGCTTGTGTTCTCTCTCTGGCTGTCTCTCTCTGTCAAATAAATAAATAAAATCTTAAAAAAAAAAAAAAAAGAAAGAAATGCTAGCTATAAATGCGCAGTCCTCACAGCTCTTGGAAATTCATTTGCCTGGTCACTGGCCTGTAATAGGGACAGTGGTACTGGCCAGGGCCTAGGACAAGAAGTATGAGTCAACCTTGATTTCTGCTCTAATGGCTTTATGGCCCAGGAGGAAAGTAAGTCATGCCAATAGGCATCAGAAGTTAATTACACGTGCTAGAACAGGAATGCGGATTACTTGTGAGAGCAGAGAATGGCCAAGCCTATATTGGGGGAGGGGGGTGTAGCCAGGAATGGCTTCAAAGATAAGGAATTCTCGAGAAGAGTCTCAAAAGATGAGCAGGAAACTGGGTAAGGAGCATCCCAGGCAGACGGGGCAGTGAAGCAAAGACATGGAGGCTCGTCACAGCATTCTGGGAACTGTCATGAGCTCGGAAGGGCTGGATTGAAGGATGGGAGTGGAGAGAGGTCAAGGGACACTGTGGGGCTGAAAGCAGGCAGGGCCAGATCCCAAAGGATCTGCTGTGCCATGCTATGGGGTTTGCCTGGGCACTGGGGAGCCAAGGAAGGGTTATAAGGTGGGGAGATACTATTGGTTTTGTGTTTTAGAAAGGTCCCTGTGGCAGCCTCAGGGAGAATGGATTGATGCCTGGAGCCGGACTGAGGTCGGTGTCTACAAGGGTTAGGGGACTATCGTATAGACAGGGCAAGAGAAGATGAGGGCCCGAGCTCAAGCAACAATTGTGGGGCTGAAGGATGAGACAGACTGGAGAAATTTCAAGGAACCAAACTAAACAGTTTTGGTCTGCAACTGTATATGCAGGAGAAGGTGGGAGAAGGAGCCTGGTCTGACTCCCGGGTTTCTGGTTTGAGTGCCTGGTTGAGGTGGTGCCATTCCCGAGAGTGGGAAACTCTTTAAGAGGGGCAGGCTTTGGGAAGAAGGGATGAGTTCGGCTGTGAACGCACGGACTTTCAGTGCCTAAGGGGCTTCCAGGGGGAAACGACTATCATTAAACGTGGGTAATTGCTCTATCACACTGCGGCAGACACAAGGCAGGGCAGGTATCTTGCGCTAATACTAAGTGCTTGTTCTGTACCTTGGTATCTGCTCCGCATACCAACTCACTGAATCCCCATCAGAGCTCAGTGAGGTGGGCACTGTCACTATGCCGCTGCGCAGGTGAGGTAAGGGACAGAGGACAGGCAGGCTTCAGACCCAGGCAGTCTGGTGCTCGGGGCTGCCCTCGTAGCCATCCCACTGTTCGGCCTCGAGGAATTCTGTAGACACCAAGGAATAAGGCAGCACTGACCCCGATGGCCTCCTTCCTATCCTCATTCCAAGCTCGTCTCCTGCCAAGACAGAAAGGCCCCTGACCTTCCTTCTCTTTGGGGTTGATACACCCCATGTTGCCTGGATAACTTCCAATCCTCTTCCGGGTACAATTTGCACATCATCGTAAGTGCTAAGAGTGAAACAGGGGCAAGCCCTTTAGCCTTTGAAGATGATGCACGTGGAAATGCTTTACTCTTGAACTTCTTTCTTGATTTTTCTGATCTCTACAATGAGGCCAGTGAGCCTCCCTCAGGTAGGCTTGTTAGTCACGATATTATGAGAAACAGCAACACCAGCCAACGCTGAGATCTCGCTCTGTATCGGGCGTGCTAAGCACTTTCATTGCTCTGATGCATTAATTCCCAGAACAGCCTCACGACATAGGTGTTTTTATTATTCCCATTCTTTTTTTTTTTTAAGCTTTATTTATTTGAGAGAGAGCGCTCAAGAGCACAAGCAGGGGAAGGGTTAGAGGGAGAGGGAGAAGAAGCAGGCTTCCCGCGGAGCAGGGAGCCTGACGTGGGGCTCGATCCCAGGACCCTGGTTTCATGACCTGAGCTGAAGGCAGATGCTTAACCGACTGAGCCACCCAAGCACCCATATTATTCCCATTCTTAAGATGAGTTAACTGAGGCACGAATGAATCACTCAAGGTCATAGAGTTAGGAAGTAATAGAACCAGCATTCAAACCCAACTCCGAGTCCAGAGTCTGAGGTCTTATATCTCATTTCTTGGGAGAAAAACAGTGTAAACTTCTACATATGCCATATTTTCTTCTCTTTTTCTCCCCTTTACTGCCAGGATTTTGGCTCATACACTGCTCATTATTACACTACCAGCAATTCGTTACAGGAAGGAAGGGGAGAGGAAACACAGAAGGGAAACTGTTACT